GGTAAAAAAAAAAAAATCTAATTGTGCCCTAATGATCCTCATTTGGCAGAAAGCCTTGTCCTTATTTTCATCAAGGCAGTCCTTTAGTGCTCCTGATGGGATCTCTCCTTTGTCCCAAGTCCTGAACAGGGCAATCCAGAAAAGAAGGGATCCTCAAAGTGATGTAGGTAGAGAATGAAACTAAAATGGGCCCTAACTCCTGTTATTCTGAAATTTCTCCTTTCCAGCCAAAAAATATCAATAAAGTCCCTGTCATATTTCTACCAATGGCACTGGAAAGCCCTCTAAATGAGTCTATCCAAAGCTGTGTGGAGACTAAGAGGGGCTGTACATTGATTTCAGATCTAATGTGGAAATGTAGGAACTCCTAAGCCCTCCTGCCTAGATTCTGGTAGATTTCTAGATTTTGTTTAAGAATCCCAACAGGATTGGGAAATGCTGTTACCCTGTTTACCCAATACTAAAGCAGGCTGCAACAAAATCAGAGCACCAGGTATCTTTATAATCCATTTCTGATTATTCATAATTGCAGTCAATAATGGCAATCAATATGTGCAGTGCATTTTTCAAAAGTAATTTCTAAAAAATGCAAATAATCCTAATGGAATTTGTCAGATACACAGCACTTGAGAGGATCAATGCTCATGACCATGGATATTCAATATATTGCTTTAATTCATCATTATTGACTATAGGACTGTTCATGCTTTCTAACATACTTCATAACATACTTCATATTTTCATATCCTTTCCAAATATTTTGTTTTGAATCCCATGTCAATAAAATCAATTTCTCTACTAATTTGAGAAATGGATGTGACAGGCTAAATTACTCCACCCAAGAAATGCTGGGAGCAGTTCCCAGATAAAGATGCCCCCTGAAATGATATTTCTGAGTACAGGTTTTTTTGGTAGATAATTTAGAGAGTTGTATAATTATGCATTATTCTTTGAGAAAAACAAAATATTATGTCTTAAGCTTCTAGCCATCAATCTTGTTGCAAGACACCTTGATAATATAGCTTTATTTCATGCTATTTCATCACTTGTCATGCTTCTGAATCCCTTTTGAAATTTCATAAATATGTCTATAGTATGTTATATTCTTCCTTGCTGGAATGTGATTGTGAACTAAATTGTCATGAGAAAAAGCACTATAAATATCCCTCTGCTAATATGCTGTTTCTTATGGTGTTGTTTCTGTTTTTGTAATTTCAAAATACTAATTACTGTTTCTCCTGTTTGTCATGAAAATACAGTTCTTACATAATTGTGTGGCTAAGGTGTAAATTCTCTAGCAGATGAAAAAAATATAATAGCAGAAATAATCACTAAACATAGAAAGAGTCAGGTGTTTTTTGTTGGTTTTTTTTTTTTTAAATCAAGGTTTCCTTGAAGAATCACTGGACATTAAAACAATTCTTTAATTAGTAAAAATATACTGTAAAAATATGATTCCCATTTTGATATCACTAAATCACAGTAATATGCTAAAATAATTAGAATTGGTTGTGCTTTTGCTGCAAAAAAAAAAAAAATGGAGCAGAATCTGCTCTCAGTTCAGTAGGGACAGCCTGAGACAATTCATCTGGAGATAATAAGCCAGATTCACAGCCTGTGTAAGTTGTGCAGTTCCTCTGATTTCAGCTGTGTCACACCAGATTTAAATCAACTCAGTATTTGGCTCGATATGCACAGTCAACAGATTACACTCATAGCACCAAGAGCAGACTTTGGCTGAAGGAATTAGGTTGCAAACACAGAAAATAGCAGGGCAATTAATTTTTTTGGTGGTGGTCATGGGGGAAGGTCTTGGAAATAAGCATTTGCAGTAGATAAGAACTCTCTAGTTCTTCAAGTGAGGAGCTTGGTGCAATGTGCAAAATAGAAAAATTTCCACATCTTTTTGAAGTCAGAATGCTGAAGGGAAAGTCACCTGTTTTCAGGGTGAAAAGTCCTTGGTATGATCAGCTGGTGCAGAAAAGGAAAGAGCAGCTCTGTGCCACTGCCTGCAGCATTTGGGCTTGGCATTTTGGGTCCTAAACACCTTGAGTTCCACTGCTGCCAGCAGAGTAAGGTCCCTCTGAGTGGATGGATAGAAATGTTGGTAAATTCTGTGCATGGCTGAACCATCAAAATCAGCAGCTCTAGAAATGTGTAGTATAGCTCTACTCTCCTCCAGGTACAGAAATTTTACACCAATGCAAATCCAATGACGTAAATGCAGTTACTCCTGATTTAAATGAGGAAATTATTGTTCCCTCTGAGCTGTGACTTGGTATTATAAATGGCTTTTAATGATCTTTCTTTTTTCCTTTTTTTTTTATGGTTTTGTTTTATTTTGTTTTTTAAGAGTGGCCGAAGTCAGCCAAATGAATAAAAAGCAAGGCTAGAATTTGGGCCTTCTGGCTTCTTAGATTCTGCTTAGAAGAATAAGCCATGCCTAGAAAATGGGAATTGGGAAAGCCAAGTGGAATGTTAGTGATATGGAAATATATCAGCCATCACAAACAACCTACCTTAATTAAAGTGCTCAATGCTAATCTAATGTAAAAGCCTCATAAAGTACCATAAAGAAGCTGAACTAATTTTTTTCTTAGATTGCAAAACTGTTTAAGATGGTTTAACTTACCATGACAAAAACCTGTGGAGGAATGAATTTTCATTGCTGTTTACTAGTGCATAGGGGTTTGGCTATATACACTGTTTAATTCAGAGTGGGAATTTGACTTTTTTCCATTTTATTTAATTCAAAATGTTTTGACAGCTTGACTTGCTATCACTAAAAGTTTAATCAGTCAGACATTTAGGGGAAGCTGCTCAGCCAGTATAAATCTTTCTGGTGAAAGTCACAAAAAAGGCATACCAATTATTGCTAAGAGGAGGACTCATGATATAAAACCAAATGTGCTAAACCCTGTAACCAGATGGGTTTAACCATCTGATCCTGCCTGAGATGTCATTTTCAGAGCCCTTTTCTTTGAGTCTGACATCATGAGGAACTGAACTCAGCTGTCAGCAAGTTCATATGCTGGTTTTAAAACATCTTGTTAAGCTAAACATGGCCATCAAAAAGAATGCCATGGCAATGTTGGTATTGCAATATAAAAACACTGTGATAACCAGAATTAGATGAAAGAGCCTGAAGTTAAACAACAATTGAAATAACTAATTTATTTTTTCACTGAGTTTGGGTGGTTTTTTTTTTTTACTTAGAGAAAGGAAATTACTGTATGCAGTTAAAGGTAAAAGGCTCCTTCTAGAAAAGTTTTGCTAAGAGCCACTCCAAAATCACATTTTTAGCACAAATATCATATCCAAATATCACTATTTACATTGTATATAGAATATAATATCTTTGTCTTGTGAAACTGGGTGTTCTTCATCATCTCAGTGAATTTTATTCTATTTCTTGTTTAGAGTGTGTGAATGGAAAAGATGAATTATAATATCCAACTGTATAATTAAACCCTTAAACCCTTATTATTCATCATTTATGGCAGTTTTTATTTTTAAAGTGGTAAATTTTTCAAATTATTTGTTGGAATTCTGTCGAGTTTTGGTGACCTTTTTCATTGCTTTCTTCATTAACTTATAAAGGATTTTCACTATGATAAGTGACACATTCTGGGAGGACGTCACTGTGCCTAAAATATATCATTAAGCTCAGTTCTATGTAACTTGTTTTGTTATTTGTTTTTTGGTTACAACATAACAAAATTAGTTTAAGGCATTATTCCTATGGGATGAGTCCATGAGAAATGACCAATAATGGCAGAACTGGCCTTCAGTTTTCACTGGGTTCTGCATGCTCCCTCCCCAGGAAGAGCTGGTGGAGATGGCATAAGCTGCAGCAGGAGATCTCCCAGGCAGTCAGCTGGCAGCCAGCTGTGCTGCCACCCTTCCCCATCTCTTTGTTGGCCCCACAGCATCCATCTACTTGACTTCTGTGATGGTTTTCCTTTGTTTTTTTACCTTTCCTATTTTCTCTCTCCTATTCCCTCCTCAGTCATGATCAGAGAAATACTCCCTCAAAATCACCTTCCCATTGGAGTAGCTGAGGACTATAGGCACCAAAATGAGTTTTAGGACACTGAGCCTGTTTCTCAGCTTTCAATTCTGTCCACTTTATTAATGGAGACTCATTTCTTAGTCCCCTTTTGCTTTGTAAGCTTTGGGAAAACCTTCTTTCCTGTGCTCCATATTGATGTTGGGTTGGGTATAAACAATGGTAAATGTTGTTGCTTGTTGATAGCAGCCTTTCCTTAGGCAAAATGCCCTTTGATTTAATCGGGGCGCAGAACCCATCCTTGGCACTGCTGTGGCCTTTGCTGACTGTACCAGGCAGAGAATGGATTGATTTTTTACAATGTGCAAGTTTCTGATGCTTACCAATTCTGTAGGACATGATCCAACAGTTCTGACTCATTCCACCCAGTTTAAGTTCCACTTTTCCCCTGCTGGATTTGGAGATTTGACCCAATGTCCAGAGTGCCTCTCTAATGACTGCAGGATCAGCCATGCTGCCTGTGGTAACATCTTCACAGCACATTCAAGAATATAACTTATCTGAAGTTTAAAATCATCTACTTCATCATCCAGGAAAATTCAGAATGGGAAAGTAGTACCAAATGAATTTAGAATCCCTATCACAAATGACTGGTGGTTTTAAAATATACAGTTACAAAAATCTTACAAGAAGACCCTCTGATTAATAACCAACTATAATAATAGTTGCATGTACCAAGAGCTGCACTAAATCCTGAACAATATTTGCACTTTGGCAAAGAGTATTTTGTTTCATATCACATACATTTTGTTAAGTAGAGGAAACACTGCTTCCCTGGTGCTTTTGTTTTTCCCTCTGGATTGTAGCAATGGAGCACTTGCATGTTGTGTTTGATGCCTTGCATGAGTAAGACATGCAATGGCAAGTTCCAGTCTGCATGCTGCTTAATGAATGTTTTCCTTTTCTCTCCTTCCCTGTTATGTGCTTACAGAAGACAACTATGTGGAAGGTGGGTGCTTTCTACCTTATTTTCCTAAGCTCTTGTTTTTCCCCTCTGTTCAGTGGGGTTTTTTTTTTTCCTTCTGCTTAATGTTATAAAAGTACACATATCATTCAGTACGGTAAGTTGTATTTTCCCCTGCATAAAGGCATACAAGTTTATCAAATAGATGTGATTTATTTTTTCATACAGAACACAAGCAAAGCTCCTTGGCCTTATTGCTGTAATTCCAGAATATCTCCACTGAAAAAAACAGGATTTGTACTCGTGTGACTGATACCGTATCCAAAACCTCTCTGGAGATTTGCAGGACTGATTTCTTCTCATGTTCTGTATGAAAAACACTTCAAGAAACTATTTGTCCCATTGATGTGGAGCCTAAATCCTCCCAATGAAATAGTAATGCATGGTAAATTCCTGTCTCTTAATTGCTTAGGAAAATGGAAAGCGCTTTTCTCTTTGATACCACAAACCTTGCTTACTCTAATATCCTTTACAGCACAAAGCTTTAGGAAAAGAGGTTTTCTGTCTAACTTTTCAGCATAATGCACTTGCCTTTGAGACACTGTGAAAGAAGCAGCATGTGATTTTAATAATTGAGTTGGTATGTAATTAAGTCCCTTTAATGAAAGTATGGCATAGGGCAGTGGAAACTAAGGCACAATGCCATCTATCCTGAACATTGGTAAGTAAGTCCATTAGCTGGTAAAACATGCAAATATATGATAGTCTTTTTGCTTGTAAGCTAAAAAGTATAGGTGCTTTTTTATGTACAAATGTCTTTAAAGTCTTTCTGGGGTAAATCTTTGCATACTGGATAAATGATTATCTATTTGAAAAAATTAATTTACCTATCCAAACTGAAAAAGTTGCCTTCATTTTATTTCATTCCAATATTTTAAAAGCTATTTTAAAAGCAAGGACTTTGTAAACTAACTCATATGCAAAGTGACTGTCCTGGCATGACTCTGACCTCATGTGAGCCACTCTGGGGCCTGAGTTCATTCAGGTTTCAACTCACCATGGGCCAGTGCCTGTTCAGGGGCGATTTTCTCAAGCCTTGAAGTGCTGATGCTTCATTTCTCTGTGCTGCTGTATTCAAGGGTGAAGGCAGGTGCTCAGATTTAGCACATAGATGATGCTCTGCAATTTTATTAATATATATGTTTTCCCAAGGAGAAGGAAAATTCAAATAATTCTGGTGCTTTACTTGTGGGCACGTCATGCTCATACACGTCAATAAAATTTCATTTTCAATGTGAGATAAAAATGTATTCAGCAACACTGGAATAGAAATTCTAGTTGAAAAACATAAAAGCCTAGAAATAACTACCTAATCTTGTATTTGATCTGTGCATAAAACTCTTACTGGTGTCAACATGAGTCTCAACATTTGAATTAGGTTCAGTATAACTAGATAAGGAGGTTCAATTGCATTTCACATATTCATTTGTGCACAGCAGTAGAAGATAAAACCTGGATAACTGTTAATCCAGACTTTACCTGAACCTAATTCTTAAAACTGCAACCTTAAATTTATTCCAACACAGGTCTGGATACTTATGCATACATTAAAGTTACAGAGCATGAATATGTAAAAATGGAAGCATAGAATTGTGTATCCAAAGCACAACTTGAAATCTGAGCTGAAATTTTTCATCTTTGATCTCTGTGATATCTGAGCATCTCTGTAAATTAGGCAACATAAGCAAACAGAAATATGTAATATACAATTTTGTATATACTTCTGGTAAAAAAGGCTACTGTTTTGTCATTTTACTGAATTTGTACTACATTTAATACCTTCACTGCAGGTTTATCACATTTAAATTTTGTTTTGGCCTGTGCTCTGCATGGAACTCACACACCAAACTATGGTATCCTACCTTCATATCCTCTTCCACTATCCCACCCTGTGCTCCTTAACTCTCTCCTCTGAGAGCCAAGTTCAGGAGAGAGTTGGAGTGGATCACACATGAGGGATTCCTTCTAAATCTTGAATTCCTAATTCACAAAGAAATTGAAGTAATGGTGCACAAATGAGCATTTTCAATGTGTGGAAGGCCTATACGTGGCTACTTAAGGATAAAACTTCCCAGGTCTATTAAAAGCCAACTTTTATTTTGCAAATCTAGCAGTGATTCCTCTCATGTCAGGTTTATGGCTGTATCATTTTAAACCCCTCTGTGGAATGAACAGGTACAGTACTAGTAGTGCTTCACTCTTCAATAGCTTTCACCCATAGATTGCAAAAATATGAAATAAGGTAAGTATCATCATGTGCCTTTAGCAAGGGAGTAAAGGTGACCTTACTGCTTGGAAATAAAGTAACACAAAGAGTGAAACAAAATAAAGTGTCTTGAGGATTAGTACTGAATTTGTTAATTGGTAGATGTTTGGTTTGAGCAGTGTATGTCTTTTACATTCACTTGGCTGCATTTTTTCATTGAACAGCACTGTAAGTGACTCTTAAAATTCAAGCAGTCTTTATGATGTCTTCAAGAGGTATTTCTACTATTTACATTTTTTCTTCAAATTGTGTAAGAGTCATCTCTTTGCAACTGACCAATTTCACTTATCATTTTAACAAAAGTAGTGATCACTATCAAGCAGTGATAATCTGAAGCTAGACTTTTGTTTAGGTTCATATAGCTATAAAGTTCATATGTAAATGTGAGATAGTAAGAGATGACCTTTTTTGCATTCCCCTGGGAGACAGGACAGTGATTTGTTTGAAAGATCTCACATAAAGTAGTGACTGAAAAGTCACTGTTTCATTAAAGAAAAAGATGTTGCAATGTTCAACTGGTTTCAGTTTTTCTTTATCAAATACAATTAGGGTCAGGTCAAAAGTCTAAGATTTCTTGCTATAGTTGCCAACACGAAAAGCTAAAACCCAAAGACAAATTAATCAATCACAAGAAGAGACTAAAACTTCCAAAGGCCACGTGTCAGGAGATCCAAGGAAGGACACCCAACACTAAAAGAATGAATTAAATAATAGCACCTGGTCTTTATTCTCTGTGTATTCAGCAAGTCTCTCTTGCAGCAACACTTACAGAGAAGGAACACCCATGAAAACATTTCTGTTCTCTTTCACAAGCTGCAAACTGCCAGTTCAGCTGTGTGATGCTTCCCAAGCAATGCTGATGCAGGCATCCCTTCAGGATCACAGTCAGCTTTCATTTACATTGCTGTGAGCCCCAGGTAATCCCACCAGCTGCAGAGCTCTGTATTTGGAAACAGAATTTATTGCACAAGAGATCAGGCACATCAGGCCCTTCAGTTTAACTACACATCTAAAAGGAGTGACATTAAAAAGCAATAATTCAACAAAACCATTGTTAGACTACTTGGAACATCACTTGAGATTTGGAACTGATAAGAGAAGAATCATTTAGACTGATTGCAGTCGGGAGTATCTTCTTTGAACTACCCCCAAGTAGTGTGAGTCATTTGTGCACCTAATTTTCTTTGTGAATTAGAAATCACAGAAACTCTCTCTCTAGGAAGCCTGCTCTCCAATAAAGAGAAGGATATTTTATTGCTCACCTTCTTTGTGTGAATTAATTTCAATTAATTGCAATTAAGAAAATAATGTATGGCTTTTTTCAGAAGAGGAGCACATTTTACACATGAACAACCAATAACTCCTGAAGTGGATCCTAAAACAGCTAAATGCAACAAGGATAAGTCTGTTTTTAAATCAGACATAAAAATTGAAAAACCTTCATATATCTAAGAAAAATATTCTCCCAACATCACATTATACTCAGTGAGATTTAAGTATCATTTTATTATCATGATTAAAAAAGATTAATATTTTTCCTTGAAGAGTAACAAAATTTGGCTCTGGATGAGTGATTATCATAATGGACATCTGCTTTGAAATGTCACTAGACCTATTCTGGTGTGATGGGATTTCATCTCACAATATAAGTATAAAGCAAAATCTATTTCTCACAGATTGAAGAAGCAGTTGCAGAAGCTGTCAGTTAAATTTTCTTTATTACTATGTATTTTATATTGCATATGTAATAATTTGCCTTCTCTGGAACAAATTCATTCTACTGTCACATTTCACACAAATAAGGAGACATTCTTTGCATTATCATTTCAATGTGATGAATAAATTTTATTTAATTACCTGAAATGCTCATTTTTATGAGGGGAAAAAGATCAGACCCAGCCCATTTTTCAGGTTTAAACTTCTCCAGGGTTTAAACATCATTTCACATGTAGAGGACAGGAAGTCCTCTCAGCAAAGTGTTCAAAGCAATATAATTAAAATATGATAATGACAGACGGATTATTAAAGGAATTGGTTGGATTTGAAAGCATTTTATTATTTTCTGTCAATGCAAATACTGCACAGAAAAAAAAAATACACAATAAAACAGCACCCAGTGTTTGAATTGCAGTTCTGTTACTTGTAGCCCAAAGCATTCCAACCAGTGGTTGAAAAATGCTCTTTGATTTCCCTCTGTGATACAGACATCTTATAGGAAACAGATGCCTGTCACAAAACATTTTTGTCAGTGTGACAACACCACCTTCCCGTGCTCCCTTGTTCATTGCTGACTGTGCTCTTGTTTCCCTTCAAGGTCTGGCGCACCTGATGATGGGCGACCAAGGTATGGGCTCTGTTCCTTTTCCACTCTGCTTTCATTGTTTCTTCTTGTTCTGTAGCTGCTTTGAATCCATCACTGCAACCGATGGGCAAATGCTTGAAAGCTGTCTTTGGCTGCAAAGAAACACATGGTTTTAGTCACATCTTTTTCTTGTTTCGTTTTTGATTTTGGTTGGTTTTGGGTTTTTTGGTTTTTTTTCGTTTGCTCCGTAAGCTTTTGTCCTTCCTGCCTCCTCAACTCCCCCTCTTGCAAAACAATAACTAAAAAGAGGTGAGAGAAATAAGAAAGTGATTACAAAAATTCTGTGTATTTATCAGAAAATACAATTATGGGTGATCCTATAAAAGATAAACAAAGTGCCAGACCACTCTTCAGATAGCCCCTGAAAGAAGATGCTCCTCTTGTAACATTGTACACATTGAAGAGTCCATTTGCATTAATGCATGGCTGATTGGAAATGTGCAGAAAGCACCTGCTCCTGGCTTCTGGAATGCTGAGAGTACAATTTTGCTACCTAACAAAAGCAATGATTTTTTTCCTCCTAACCATTGTCCATGTTACCTTTGTGACAGTCTTTATTATCTAAGCATGGGTTATTTCTGTGTTTCTCTGCATGTACATGATTGGGAAGAAATAAACTAAATCCCTAATATGACACTGATTGCATCTCCATTTGTCTTCAGACACTTACCTTATACTTTGTCTCTTCATGTTCAGATACTATTGCATTTACATGTACTCATGACTCTTACTGTTGTTTCTCTCCTCTTCTTTATTCTCTTTTTGTCTGGAAATGCTTTCTTCATGGAACCATTTCACCAAATCCATAGGTAAAAGTAAAGGTATTACATGATTTTCTTTATTTTTAATGCCATCAGTATACTTTAATGTATGTATAAATAATGCAAGTGAATGTAAAATTTTTGCACTGATAACATGAGGTAGGTATATTCTTACAGTAAATATTACATGGATATCAAGGTAAGGATAATTATCCTAAAGTAGAGGCTGACCATTTTCTAAGTTTGTTTCCTGGTTTTGTGAGGGATGTGAAGCTTTGGCAGTGATAAAAGAGGAAGTGTTCATGATGAAGTAACAGCCACATTTTGAGGTATGCCTTTTTCTGTTCTCAAAGAGCTGCAGTCTAAACCATCAGACACAGGAAAAAAAAAAAAAGTGTGATGTTGTTCAGTAGAGACTCTCTGGAGATAAACTGTACAGGGTCAGTCCACAGCTTGATGTACGTTTTACATGGGAACAGCACTAACTTTAGCAAGTCTTTGCCCTGAGAGTTTCCTTTCATATTAATCACTTGGAGCGTATCTGAGATAAGAATTGGACAAAGGAATGAGGAAGAAAAAAAGCCAAAGAAATGTGTGGGGTTTCTTTCAGTTTTTTTTTTTTTTAATTCTTTTTGTTTCTTTATGTAAAGAATGCCAGCTGTGTTTACTTCCCTTCTCCCAGAGGAAACAGCGCAGTAGGGGCAAGAATTTTTTCCTGTATAAATAAACATCAGGTTTTGCTACAAGGACACTTGTTCACAGGCACTGTGTAAATATATTTTTATGATAAGAAGGTGGTGATTAAAAGCCATTTAATCTCTGTTACATATGATGAATAACACAGTTCTATTCATCTTAACATTTTGTCGGGGGTGCCTATTCTTTGTATAAATCAGCAATCCAGTCTGCATGTTCATACTTTCCTGACTAGTTAAATTAGAAACAAACTTCCAGTTTTGTTGGTGTCTTGGCTGATTTAGTGTTTCCATACGTAGGAAGTTCATGTAATGCAAAGACTGTAAATACAAATCTGTAGTGTCCCTTTCCTCTTCATATCAGACCCCCTGGAAAGACTCTGTACCTGTATAGGTGGGATATCATTTCTGTGTGCTCTGGAGCTCTAAGTCTTCTTACTTAGGAAAAGTTTTAAGCAAGTATGGAAAACAATCTATTCATTTCTTTGTTTTATCAGATCATTTTGTTTTATTTGCTATATGACTGATTCTTTTGTTTCTTAACAGTACATAGTATGTGTGATTTCCTCATTATTTATTATTACTATCTTATTCCTAATCAGTAGATATCCTAGCTGCAGCTACCTTAAAATTACATTTCTTATTAACTGAACCTTGACACTATAGATAATTTTTATTAATAATGCACAATTACTTTTCTAGATTGTTCTGTACACAGAATAAATTATATAGTATGTATGGCACCAAAGGTTTTTTTTGAATGAAAGGAGTAAAATATAAATATTATGAATATTTATTATGAATAATAGGTGATATGAAGAGCAGATTTTTAGCAAAACATAATTTTTTTCTAGTATTTTAAACATGTAGACTTTTATATTTTTATTTTTAAAGGTTTAACAACTGTATTTTAAAAAATTACCTGTATATATTAGCTACATTTAATGTTCAGTAATGTGCCATGTGACATAATTTAAACACCAGTCACCAATCATCTAATCATTTGACTACATTTTACCCTTCATATTTTGATTTTTATTAGATTTATCCAGTTAATATAGAAATAATCATTGCTGTGTTTTGAGAATCACAACACTTCTGCACATATAATGGTGTATATTGTTCAATTTGATGGAGAGGGTTTATATGTGTACCAACTCCAGTTGCTTTTGTAACAGAAAACATCCCTCAATGTTGAGCCATATCCTGAACCAGGAAAAAACAGACTCATTTTGTTGACTGTCCTGAAACTTTACTGATATCAGCTGTTGAAACATGTGGTCTTGAACAGTTGTGATAACACAGATGTGTAACATGTGACAATATAAAAAATCAGGAAGGCAATGGAGAGGAGCAGAGGAAAAAAAGAGGGAACTCTATTATAAGTTTCATTCCTTGAGAGGTATGCAAGGGCAGTAATTGTAAAATTCTGGATGATTATATAATGAATTAATCATATTTTGGAAATATAAGCAATAAAACACTTTTAAGAAGCTTTACAATGTCATTTGTCCTGAGGAGTATAAATGGCTGAAGTATCACCATCTCCTTTAATTGTGTAGATATTCTTTGGGATACTGGAAAAGGTGAAAAAAAAGCCAAATCAGTGTATCTTCATAATTTGGACAGGGTGTTAAGGTAAAAACCTGGGGTTGACAGAGGAAGGAGAAATGAGGCAGCCTCTCCAACTGGGCAATACTAAGTTCAGTACTATCTCACAATGCCCCTGATGTTTAACATTTAGTTGTAAATCTAAATTGGGATATCCTGGATAATCTCCCCACAAATTACTCCTTGTAGATGCTATGCCTAATTCTAGAAAATCTGGAGTCTTTTATTTATATTGGCATTTGTTTATTTTCTGCCAAGCACCATATATTCAGAAATATTTAGGAATTCCTTTTTCATCCCCTGGAAATAACTGACCTGTATAGAACTTTAACAGCAGGGTTGTCACAGTTCTGATGGTGAAAAGTCATAGGCAAGGTAAGGTTTGTAAATGGTGCTGATGTTTTTACTTGACCACTTGAAAATGCTACTCAGAGCAATTGCTTGAATTCAAAGCAATCCTTAAATCTGCTGTTCATAACAGTCAGATTTGTTTGCCCCCAAAAAATTTGTGCCCAAACAAATTTTCTCTGCTCTCTCCAACTATTGGAGGTGGTCTAATAAAACCATTTCCACCTATAGGCTTTACCTCATCAAAGTCATGCAGGATTATTTTGTGTTGAATAGTAATATGACTAAATTTATATGGCAACTAATGCAAAACACTCCATTTCTCTACTTAAAAAAAAATCTCATCCTCTCCTTTTCATATTCTCCTTTTCATATTCTTTTGGAGAGCAATGAAAGGACTTTATAATTCACAAACTCTAAGAGTGACATGTAATACTTTGTTTTTATACTGCAGTTCTCTTAAGCCTATTCATATTTTTACCTATAGTTTATTTTTATGTAATTATCATACTTTTGACTATATATACTACTCATTCTGTACCTAAATACTATGTTCTTACTCCTGTTCTATTATTTTAGAGATTATGTGCAGCTTTAAATTATACATGAGTCACTCAGGTTCGTAAAAAACTATTAAATGTTAGCTAGCTGAGCAATAAGTGTTTCTACCAAAAAAATGATAGTACAACTGCAATTTATTGTCTTAGATTGCAGGCTTTTGATGTGCTGGTATTTGCTTTATTGTGTATAAATGCTGAAGAAAGACTTCAGAATGGCAATTTATTTATGTGTCAACATCCTTGACAAAGGAGGGGAACTTTTTTCTTGCACATGCTATCGTACTATACCTGTAACACCAAAGTGACACCACTAATTTTTTAATTATCAATCACACAACTAATTTGACAGCTGGGAAAATAGAACACTGAAAAATAAAAGCAATTTATAGAAATCCTTAAACAATCATGAGCATAAAAGTGGCATGTTGTAGCTAAGTAATTATGTGATGCTTGTGTCATGCAACACAAACCTCACTTTGTGCCAGTAATCTCCCCTAACATCAAACTGTCTGGAATTTGGTCATTAACCTTCCTGCAACCACAAGTTCATCTTACTGGAATGACTTTCATTTTTGCTCTGGTGTTGAAGAACCTAGATGGTCTTGGCTTCTTGCACTCTCATTGAAATGCCTGTCCCCTCCTCATCTGCTGCTGCGTGTGCTCTTCAGGGTGGCCCTTAGAGACACCCATAGCCCAGCCTTCCCTGATCCAAGCCCCCATCAGTCCAGAAACCCTGTAAATGCTGTGGCACAGCCCTGGACTCGAGCTCAGCTCCTTATTTTTGGCTCAGTGCCCTGTTGACATGGACTCAGTTTCATGCCTTCTCAACTGCAGCCGGCTTTTGCCGGGCAAGCACAAAACGTGGATGGAGGGCATTCCTGACTCTCTGCACTTGTTCACATAGTTATATATCCTAGGTGATAGCAGCTGGTTGAAAAGACTCCCTGCTAGAAGCAAAGTGAGGTAATCTGGGGGTTTGACACACAATGGGGTTGCCAGGGTAGGGC